CAGTGGACCTTTGCAGTTTGCCTGGCCTGTAGGTATTGCTGTGCACCCTCAATCCAAGAAGATATATGTTACAGATGCCGGTAATGGCCGTGTCCAGATCCTCAATGAAGACCTGACATTTTACAAGACATTTGGCTCCAGAGGCTCAGGCAATGGGCAGTTTAATAATCCACTTGGAGTTAGTTTTGACAGTACTCGGAATGTATACATTGCTGATACTTTTAACCGCAGAGTACAAGTGTTCACAGCAGATGGAGAGCACATTCGACAGTTTGAGAAGAGAGGAAGCAATAAGAACGGAATAGCCATGGACTCAAACAACATTGTCTATGTTAGTGACTCTGCTAACAATATCTCAGTCTTCACTAAAGAGGGACACTTTCTGACATCATTTGGCACGCAAGGAAATAGACCGGGACAGTTTAACCGTCCAAGTGGAATGGCTATTTCAAGGAATGGAGTCATCTATGTCAGTGACTGCATCAATGAGCGTATTCAAGTTTTTTGAGAAATTTTTTCTCTTATGCATCTTGCGTATAATATGTTACAAACAAGATGTTCAGTTATTCTCAAGCAAAAGTTGAATCTACTTTGCGCTTGCTTGCATTCAAATAAGCGAAGCGGGAACTACCCACCACAATTTGTATCGATGCATAATTTCGTAGACTGGTTGTAAGCCGCAAGATTTGCGGAGAAGATCCTTGACTTTCTGAAAGGGTACATTCTGGGGATTTATGGGACTTACCTATGGCGGGCCAGTCCCCCACAAACAAATCCTAACCCTACTGTCAATCATCTTGCCATGCTTGATCACTTCATCTCCTTTTGCCTCGGGTTCCCCATTACTTTATGCTTTTTACTTCTCCACTTTTTTTCATTTTCCTTGCCTCTTTGTCTTTGCCTCCTCTTTGTTTATTGCATGGTCTATTTATACAACATTTCTTCCCACCACATCCTCTAGGTTGGGACTCTACTGAAGTTGGTTGGTTCTTCAGTTCCAGTGGATGAGTCTCATTCTCTTCTGGAGCCTCTCCTCAGAGATAAGTCCAAGGTAGCTATACAGACAAAGAACTGCTGCACTTTAGCCAATGTATACCTAAGCATATTTTATGCCACAAAGTACAAATACGACTAAAGACTTAGGAAAGATTGTCGTAAGAAAACTTTAATTCAAGTATATACTGGCTTGTCTCAACTGGATTCTGCCATTGTACACCACTTTCTTTATACCCACAATCAACCATTCAATGCCAATGCATGAAAGTGTATGTACATTTATGTACTACATTTCTAAGGACCCTATATTATATATGTGCTGTATAAGTATGTGTAGATGCATTCATACAGTATATCCCATGGTGCACCGCTCTCGAATAATAATATGGAGCTCTGCTGTCCTTCCTGCAGGTGGGGGTGATGGCAGGGCAGGCGTGGCAGGAGATCCAGAGCGTCGTCTCTCTCTTTCGTCTCCTGGGGGGTAAGGAGCAGGTGTTACTCCACCCCGCACTCTCCCCCGCCTACCACCATTACTCCGGAGTAGTCTTCTCCGTGTTCCAGACGACGGGGGAGGTCCATAGGGGTCAACGACGTCATCGGAGCAGGGTTATACCTGTTGCTATTGGTGGGAGGTGAGTATAAATAGTTGTATGCATGTTAGGAAAGTACAAATGCTGTGAACCTGTGTGGTATGCAGAGAAGTTTCAAACTTCATGCAACACCGTCTCTTGTGGCATAGCAGGAGAATTTGGTGAATTCCTTCACAAGTCACTAGAGCTGATAATGTGTAGAGCGGAGGAGAGTGGCATAGGCTGTCACCTCAATCTGTGTGCAAACTTCACTCATGGTGTGTGGTGGTGACCTGGCAACTGACCTGGTGCCGGTATGTGGGAAGAGGTGTGTCAATTTCCAACAGGTGTCTGTCTGTCCTTCTTGGCTTCACAACTACATTGCGATGTACCTGCCTTCCATTCTTAGCACTAGAACTCCTCTGACAGAGTCGGCTGCATGCTCCCACTTTTACTCCGGTTTAGTGCATTGGCAGAGATTGCAGTTTTAGCTCACAGTTTACCTAGAAAAACAGAAGAGCAGAGTGATTGGACTTCAATATTACTGCACGAAAACACAACCATAACCACTTACTTGTAGGACTAACATGTGCAGGCGGGTGCACAGTGTCTTTGTCAATCACCAAATTTTTAACCTGCCACCAAAAGTATAAAAACTCCTTTAGTTAGCGTGAGAGGATGAATGTATTATGTAGCTTCCTACGTACTACAAAAATGTATCAAAGTTGGAGCTATTAATAAAGTCAAAGGTAGCTACCGGGATGAAAGCAAGGCACTCACTGTCAGAGTTCTTTGCGAACTCAGCCACAGGCCAAGTGGAAACCTACCTCACAAACAAGTCACTGTGACTTCTGTATTCGGTCAACCTCTTGGCAATATTCACGGTCACCAGGCAATTCATGCTCTAGATCTGAATGGAAAATATTCTACTGTCAACAGTGTTGGCAGGTACCTGCTCTAAGTGCGTGGGAAAAAATGGAGGGGGCACAAGAGGAAAATGATCTAATCTGACATAAAAGATGTTGTGTTTTGAGGCCATCAGTAGCTCAGGCGATTTTTGGCAAACGGTCCTTGGAGCTGGAAACAGGTAGTGACTTGGCATATTCCACAGTCTTTATGCGTCATGATCCAGCTGGTTGGCAACCCATACTGTGTACTTTTATATAATTTTACTAATGCTGCAGGATGTCTTAGAGGTACTTTCAGTCATGTATTGTGGCTTTGATAAGAAGCATCATACTTATCACTTTTAGTGTATGTGAGGGTAGGATACCTATCTCGCCTCTATCTCACTATCCTGAATCTCGCCATCTCTTCGTTCAGTGCATAATGTCTACTGTGGTGTATGTATGTATGTATGTATGTATCTGTGAAGATACGACAGACTGCTGAGTGGCCTCAAGTCCTGTGGGGACGGAGTCTCTCCTGGAATGGGCGTGGTTGGTGTGGGTGTGGTTGGGGAGGAGATAATGAGGGGCGTGACATCTGAATACCAACATGGAAGGGTAAAATATTACGTATACACAATGTATGGTTAGTTGCATTATCCAGGATAATGCTGCATGCATGCTGTTTAGCATCAAACGTAGTACGCTCACGCAGCATGCGTAGCACGCAAGAACTTGTGCAAACTGACCAATCAGATTGCCCTATGCATTATAATATCATAGTTCATCAATCAACTGCTCGAGACCATTGGATGGTAGGTACCTTCAAGAGTATAATACTAAATTTCTTCCATTAACTGCTTTCATAGCACTAGAACTAATGCAACATCATATTTTAGTGTGAGTGAAAACTCAGCAGTTTTATATGCATTATGGCTACATACAGGGTATAGAGAGAAATCTCATAATTCGCACGACTAGGTGAGCTGTCTTTGCTCGTACATCTGAATACCAACATGGAAGGGTAAAATATTATGTATACACAATGTATGGTTAGTTGCTAGCATCAAATGTAGTACGCTCGCGCTGCAAGAACTTCTGGACGTGTCAGCAAACTGACCAATCGGATTGCGCTATGCATTATGATTTTCATAGTCCAAAGTATTAAACGTTTAATCAACTGCTCCTCCTCTTCCTCCTCCTCCTCTCGTGATCCCCAGTGTCCAGTGACCAAGAGCAGTGTCCTGGTGTGCTGGCTGGGGCACGAGTCACTGCAGGCTCAGTGCTTGAAGCTGGTCACACAGCTGTGGTCTCACGGGGTGGCAGCTGACTTGGTATACGAGAACCAGGAACTAGACTCCCTGGAAGACATTCAGGTAGTTCACACCACCTGCTACATGTGGTACCAAACATCGGAAGGAGAAAAACTTGGTATAGATGTAGAATGGGAATCGGACGTAAGGTGTTATATTTTCATGATGGCTTACATGAAGAACCTACCACACATTTTGGTAGCAAACGCAAATTTCGCAGGGCAGTGTGTTATGCATAAGAGCTATGGAATGGAGTTCCCTACCACGTAATGGGATAAGAGCTAAAATATGTGCGAAACGAGTTTTGTGTCCTACAAATTGGTAATAGGATAGTGATTCATATGAAATCAGAGGATTGTTCTAGTGTATTGCTGCATCTGGAAGCTTGAGGTGGCAATGCATGTCAGATTCACTAGAAGGCAGATACTCGCACTGCAAACTGTGCTGCACACTAATGGAACGCACCGAATGTATTGTACTGATGGGATACCAGATGTACACTTGGCAACCCAGTTGCAGACAAACAGGCTATATCCAGCTCAGCAAAGTCATCTTTATTCAACGCTACCGGTACTAATAGACATGCTTAAGGCTCTCTGGCTTCTTATATACATACATACTCCATATGGTTAATATTGGCTTAGCATGCCATAGAGTTTCAGTCAGGAATGGGAATGCAAAGTGTGCAAACTCGATCTGTGAAGGCAATTACTAGGATTTTAGAGGAGATTCTATGAAGATGAGCAGCAGTATGTATATATAATTGGCACACACAAACCGTATGCCTGTTGTAAAGGTCTGTGCACATGGGAAGAGAGCAATACCAAAGGACCGAGTTAGTTGCAGCTATAGAATTGTAGAATTCAGAACGGCAACTGAAAAGAGAACAGACAGTTGTTTACGATAGAGCCACCACGCACAAAGGGTTCACCTCACAGTTCACATACAGTAGTATTGAAATCATTGAGAGCCGGCATTCACTTATGGGGGATCTGGTGCTTCGTGCAGATACGGCTGAATGATATCCGAGTTCCAATAATAGCTTGAGAGGACATTTAACCCTTCCCCTCCCAGGAATTCTGCCGCCGGAGTCTGATACCGCACATCGTGGTATTGAGTGACAAGGAGCTGTTTTTTGAGAGGAAGCAGGTTAGATTGAGGTCACTGGAGGTCAACGGGAAGACGTCGGAGCGAGTCCTGGGCGTGGCGGAGCTACCAGAGTTTCTTCTGCAGCAGAGACACAGTACGGACCGCAGCGACTCTGTAGAGACTCAGACAACCACCAGATCAGGGGGAGGCCCCTCTGGTTCAGACTCGTTTCCCTCCAACGCACGCCCACCAGTCTGTGTGACTGTTTTGTCGACCTCTAAGCTGAGTGGCCACAACAAGAGAAAGATTCATGATGCTGTGAGCCTCTCTGCTTTATTACTTTCTTTGAAAGATCTCTGAAAAGGACTCCCCAAGCACCTCTCTAAAGGGGCACTTGGTTCTCTCCCGTACTAATACATAGGGACACCTCTCTATAAGGGACACTTGGTTCTGCCCCGTACTAATACATTAGTGCATTATACTACCTCCGAATAAAGAACACCTCTGAATAAAGGACACTTTAAATGTCTCCAAAGTGTCCCTTATTCAGAGGTTTCACTGTACTCACTCCAACCACCCAAAATGTGAACCTTTCTAAATGCTCCACTCATTTTTTTACTCTTCCAACTCTCTCCAGAGTCTACGTATATACCTATTCCCATTTCAATTTTTCTCTTAGACTCTGACAAAGCTGCTGCCATTGCTGGAGACGTTTCCCTCCAAACAGCCTCTGGAGATATTGGTGGTGGGTGTATACAGTGGCTGAGACCCTGTGTGTCTTGTGATACGCATGAAAATACGTGGAATAGGTTGCTCGAATGTCAAGTAAATGCTTGTAGAATTTGAACTGTTTACATAATTTCATGCCAAGATTGGATTAAGTTTTGGGCAAGTGGATGACAAACCGTTCCACACATGTGTAATGTATAGGGTTTAGTGTCTGCTATATTGCATGGTGCATTTGTCTCTCTGTGTGCCATCATAATGCTGGACGAATGGTATTGTTTGTGTGCGTAGGTGGACCTTAAAAGTGATGTCCTGTGTTCTTTGGCTGCGGAAGTCAATGTAAGCTCTCTCTCTATATAGCTGCTCATGATTCCTCATTTGGCTGCTAATGACAGTCCCCACACTAAGGATTTGTTCTGAAAACTGATGCTGATAACAGGAATTTGAGTGTGTGTGTGTGTGTGCATGTGTCACCGTTCTTGTGAAACTGTGTGTGCGTCACTAAAGCATGACTACCGCCCAATACTTGGAATAGGGACGGTGTAGGTTCGGAACCTAGGCCTTCCTGTTTATGCCTGCGCATCATATACATTTGGATTATGGTATACATGATGGTGGTCTTGTTAGTCTGAAGGCCGCCACGATACGCAACGCAACTTTGTTGTTGCGTGAGTTAAAGTCTTATGCAGTAACGTCATGTGTGGGTATGAAGTCTGTAGAGAAAAAAAATAGCGCTTTTTGTATTGTGTGTTGCATGGACTATCATGGGGATAAAGTGCAATGGAGCATTGTCACATGCAAGTTTCTTGGTGTATCTTGGCCAAGATACTATAACGTAGAAGGAGTATTGGCTTGGGGATTTCGCTATGGTTGATGTAAGCGATGTCCCTTTCGTGTCTCTGTTTCTCTCCGTGGTTCCAGAGAAAGAAATGTGGCCCAGACGGCGGAGATATGGTGTCGGTTGTCAAGTCCCTCACCGAGAGGTATGCAAAATATTTACTATTCTTTATCATTTCATCCGAGATGACAGGAGCACAAGAATCTCTCCCTCACATAAGCCGTGAGAATGATCTTAGTGCCAATGAATGTGTGTCGTTTCTCTCTAGACACTCGGCGCTAAACAAGAAGTACGTCACTAGAGTCTGCGAGAGTATTGAGGAACTTCTGCAGAAAAGGTGCAGATATTACATGTGAAACGATATGAGTCTCTCTATCGTTTTGTCGTGAGCAAAGTGAGCTGTTTGATTTTCCGTCGTGTTTCACGCGTACCTATTTAGAACGACGTATGATGTGTGGCAGTGCCTGTACGGACAAATTTCACATTCAGACAACGAGGTCTTGCTTCACTGGCCAATTAATTAGAACCCTTTGTTTTTCTTCTCCCCCTCCCTTCCTTCTCTTCCCACTCTCTCTCTTTGTCCCCCCTCCCCCTCTTCCCCTCTCTCTTTCTCCCCCATCCCCCTCTTCCCCTCTCTCCCTCTGCTCAGAGTGTCCATGGTATTTGTGTACAGCCACTCTTCGGAACACTGTCAGACTATTCTGAACTCTCTCGAGTCACTCGGCAACCTTCACATCACTGCTTCATGATCTCAATCATGCGACGACGTCATTGCTGTATCACATGATCCTCATACTTGGTCACGTGGCCTCGTCCCGTCACAAACATTCATACAATGAGTCACCCAGTTCACAATGTGTGTATGTTTATTTATTACATTTTTAATTCCGTGGTGGTTAAATTGTTTGTGTGGGTTAATCAGAAATAGATCACTGTTTAGGTTTTTAACTGTTTGTTTGTGGAGGGTTAATCAGGAATTCTTATTATGTTTGATTACACTGCTTGGTGACGGAGTAGGTTCAGTCTGGTTAACAATATTGTCCTTTTGGGTTCAACTGCAAAAAAAGCTGGCTGATCTCCAGAGTTGTCAGGCCGACTACTGTGACTATCATAGCCTCATACATAGCTTTTATGTATGTACATACCGTGCTGATCCATACTTAGTCAATACTCTTGCATAATAGCATATTGTAATCCCTGTTAGGCCTTGACCTCTGTTATCACAGTACGTGTCTCAAGTTACATATATTCAAGACAGACCATGAATAAGATCACAGACTATGTAGAGGGATTATTTGAAAACAATAATTATGCTATTATGCAAGAGGATTGACTAAGTATGGATCAGCAAGGTATACAAGCATCACAGACGTATGTATGAGGCTATGATAGTCAGTGTTAGTTTGTGTAAGCATGGCTGTGTGTGTGTGTCTGTTGGGTATTGGGGGAATAAAAGGAAGATAGTCCTAGATTGTGGGAGGCGTGTGCCAACCTCACTGCGTGTGGCTGACTAGTAGTCCAAAGTGTATGCACGCAAAGTGGGGTATTTATAGAGGAGAGTTGTGATGTCATAGGTATGGAATTTCCTAAGGGGGAAGTGGGTTTGTTACTCTAGGATCGTGGGTGATGTATTTACTCTAGGATACTCACATGATGCTCTGTGTGTTGTGTGTGTGTGTGTGTGTGCAGGTGGAGGTGGAGGTGATCCGGTGGCTGTTGACGCACGACCATCACTCCAGACCCTCCGCCAAGGATCTGCTCCAGTCCCGCCTCCTGCCACTCAAGATGGAGGGCGAACAGTTGGAGGAAGTCCTCTCAAGATCCATGCAGGTCTCAAAATCAGTGCTGGAAACACAAGATTCGTTTGTGGAGGGTTTAGTCTGCTAAATTTGAATGTGGCAATACGTGAGGGCTAGATTTAGAACTAAACATTGAGTCGTTTTATATTCAGCCATTTGCTAGTACTATTCACTCTTTATGTTCCTCTCTTTCTCTACCTTCCTTTCCCTCCCCTCCCTCTTCTCCGTCAGTCCACCAACTCCACTCGCTACCAACCTCTGATTGACAAGCTGTTCTCGGAGATGCTCCTCAACTGAGGCCTTGGTGTGTGCCCTTCGACCAGGAGCCTGCAGACACAACGCGTAGACAGCATGCGGGCGCCAAGAGAGTGGAGAATAGTCTTTGTGCTCTCACGAAAAATATCCCCGAAGTCGTAGTAGGGCGGCGAGCGTGTACTGTGTGAGCGAGGTGGAGCACAGGGTGTGCCGTCTTGGTCAGGTCGGGTTAACAGCACAGTAGGCCGTAGTCGGCGCGGACGCGGGTGGCTCTGAGACGCTGGCCTCTCGTGCGTCAAACATGGCTCGCGCGTGCGCTCTCGCCTGCAACAAATGGTGGTCGCCAACGTGCAGCCGATCTTGACCGACATGGTAGGACAACGCTACACTCTCTAGGTTGAGCCAACAAACACCACACACAAACCCTTGAGCAGGCACTTCACAATGTAGGCATACCTAGAGGTCCATGAAACATGCAATCCGCAACACTTCTATTTCATGTTGTGGACCATCAGACCATACATCATGTGTGGCCGTGTAACCATAGGTCAGTCGCTGTGTATACCCAGTGTTGCAGTGGCGTCGCGTGTGGAGCCTCCACTGCTCTGTCCCCAGTTCCAGGCCACTCTACTCCAGTCCCAGGGCCCATACCATCAGTTCATAGAACGGAATGGGCCGTGGTGACCCTCCCCAGTGACATTGTCTCCCACTGGCCCACTATCGGCATGCCCCAGCAAGACCTCACCTACTTAACAAGGTAAGGCACTCTCTCTGTGCTTTGCGGGCTTTCTCCCATATCCTGGGCTGGTTCACATATGTCGCATTGCCCTGCCGATGCTGCACGGTGGACATGGCAAGTGACGTATTGTGACCTTACCTTCTGTGTGTTTGACATTGCGATATGGTGTACAAATAGTCCTCCATTAGTTCAGTAGAATGATAGTGACTAATACACCGGAACTACTATAAATGAATTTCTTTCTTCATATTTCTCTAGCTTTGCAATAGTTGGTTCCATGCTGGGCTATTCTCTCTCTATATCATCTCCCATAGAGATTACCATCCCTGTGCACACCTTGCCTCCCTGTAGTGTAGTATCCTGGCGTGAAATTAAATGTACTACTTTCCTACTGCTCCTCTTTGTCTATACATATGTAGTATAATATACTGTCCGTCTGTACTTCACACCTCCTGACTCCCTCCTGTTTCTTCACTCTTTCATCCTCATCTCCCGCTCATCGTCATCGTCGCCACCACCCCAGGTATCCAGCATTCCAGTGTACCATGAGAGCAAGGTGCTGGGGCACACTCCATCGTGAGCAGTTTGAGGCTCAGTTTGACGACTTGTCACTCTCTTCTCCGTCTCCTCCACACGCTTCTGACACATCACGTCAGTCCATTTCACTAGTGAAAAAAGAGAAAAGTCTATATACTTTGGTGGTCTCTTGATATCTATCTGATTGTCTACTGCTCACATCACAGCTCTAAAGGACTCACGATGCAATTTGCATGATGTACACTGTAGCAGAAGTGTGTTCATACCTCAGGAACACATCTGCTTATGGTGCATAGCGACACACAGTGTGGATTGTTTACTCTCTTCCGTTCTCGCCCTGCCTCATCTTAGTGCTCCTCTATCTCACTCAAGAGTCAATACCAATTCAACGTCAAGGAGGAAAGAGCAAGAAAGACACTAAGCTCCCATTGCGCCAACCAAAGAGAACACCAAAACATAAGAACGACGCAAGTTCAAAAACAAGAACACAAAAAGACCAACCACCTAGTGCGCCAGACGATGCTAGTCAGAGTCAAAGAGGTGACTCGTGGCAGGAGAATCCTGGTCGGAAGTTCCATGTTCCACGCTCCCAGCACTGGCAGTTTGCTGTTCTGGTGAACCACATGAAGCTGCTGGAGGCCATTCTACAGCACTGCTCCATACCCAGAGAGAGATATAGTGACACTGCAGCCCTCCTCCATAGGACTGCTGTGAGAATGAATAACTTCATGTGCATCAGTGAAAACATTTGTAGGGAAACTTTGCAGAATACTTGTTTTGTTGTAATGGTTCCCTCCTCAAAATTAGACTTGCTCAAAATTAGACTTGCACAGTTTCTGCTGTGAGTTAGATTTAGCCCTGAAATTTCTTGGTACAATATGGTAGTGAAGTAGAGAGGAGAATGCAGAGAACTGCTGTTGTGGTGGTTGTAGTTTTGACAGTGCTCTGATCAGGGGTGGTTCCTAGTACAAATGGTACCCACTGTGTAAATGGCAGTCTGCATGTAGCACAATTCAGAATGCATAGGGCTGCTGTAAGGGCTGGTGAGAAAAGTAGATAGTACCGAAATATTTGCTGATAAGCTGTGAAATAAATTCTTGTTCCATGAATCTTGATTTTTTTCGCAGCACAATTTTGTGTTTTGCAGTGCATTTAGTGAGCAATACATATACAATGTGGTTGTGTATTACGGGCCCTTCTACATGTATGTGTAACTTGTCCTTATGTTACTGTAATATAGATGGGTGCTCTGAAGGTGAGTGAGCTGGAGAAGAAGCTAGTTGACAGTGGCCTCACTCTCTCCCCTCTTGCTGTGAGTTCACACTTGTGTGGTGTGCCTCCCTAATCCAGGCTCCCATGATTTATATCTACATACGTACTACTGTACATGACAGGCCCAACAATATCTTATTGCATGTACATAGAACACTCGTCACCAAAAGTGTATTTTGACTGTCTGACTTCTTGCAAGCAAAACCTGCAGACCTCTTTTCACACCATAATTTTCTTACCTAACAAGAACTGTGTTAAGGCTGCCTGTGTGTGGCACAGATACTGCAGTAGTGGAAAGGGTGGTGTAAGGGCATAGTCTGTTCATATCACCCCATGCACTCCTACTGGTCCCTTGCTGTGAATATTCTTGAGTCCTGCTCTCTCATTGGTTGGTCTTTCACTCTACCACTTAGTGGTCAGTGGAAATATAGCCTAAAATGGTAATGTTTTGACAGTGCCCTCCACATAAATAGGTGAGGCAGCCTTCTCTCTCAGTTCTTGAGGCTTGTGCATTTGCTCTGGCTTGTTCTTGATAGCTATGGCTGAGGGTCCTTCGTCTTCTGAAAAAGCGCTAGAGAAACTGAATGAAGAGTTGACTTGTCCAATATGTCTGGACCAGTACACAGACCCCAAACTCCTCCACTGCTTCCATGTCTTCTGTGAGAAGTGCCTGAAGCCAGTGGCACGCCAGACCCCACAGGGACAGGTGGTGGAGTGCCCCAACTGTCGCCACCTCACCTCCCTGCCCCAGGAAGGAGTCTCTGGCCTGCAGGGAGCCTTCCTCATCCACCACCTCTTCGACATCCAAGACATCCTCAAGAAAGTCAGCACCCCTGCTGATATCAAGTGCAAAAAATGCAAAAAACAAGGCCCAGCTTGCTATTGTCGGTCTTGTGGGTTCCTCTGCGATGCCTGTAAGTACCCACATGTAGAATGGGATGAATTTTCCTCTCACGAGCTAGTCAGCCTGGACCAGCTGACAGCAGACGCAACTAATCTTGTGCCTCCAGTCCAGAAGACTCTGAACTGCTCCAAACACCCAACCAAAGAGCTAGAAATCTACTGTGAGACTTGTAAAGAAGTAATCTGTCGAGACTGCATCCTGAAGGTCCATCGCGACCACCAGTACGATCTGGCAACCGACGTATTCCCACAACAGAAGAAGGTGCTGGTTTCCTCAGTTGAGCCAGTAGAGCAGCAGCTAGCCTCAGTCAACAAGGCTCTGGAGGACCTCAAGTCTCTGTCTGGGGAAATCACCAGCCAACGCCAGGCCTTGGAGACACAGATCAGGGCAGAGATTCGCCTCGGCCACCAAGCTCTCGAGGCAAGAGAAGAAGTCCTCGTCTCACAGCTGGACCAGATGACTCGGGAGAAGCTGAAGAATGTAGCTGCCCAGCAATACCAGTTGGAACTGGTTGCCACTCGGTTGAAGAGCTGCTATGGGTTCTTGCAGGAGAGCCTGAGAACTGGCAGTCAGGTAGAAATCCTAGCCATGGCCAAGCCTTTTGTGCAGCAGGTCCAAGACGTGACATCTTCCTTCAAGCCAGAGTCCTTGGAACCAGAGGAACAAGCTGACTTGGAATTCAACTGTAGTCAGAATGAACTACTTCAGATGTGCCAGCAATACGGACAAGTCATTGCCAATCCTGTAGCCAAGTGTAGTGCTGAAGGTGATGGACTCAAGTTAGCAGTGGTAGGAGAGAGAACCACAGCTACAGTGGAGGTGGTGGACCAGGAGGGGAGGAAGTACAGTCGTCCAGTGGAGGTGAGCTGTGAACTGGTGTCCAGTGATGGGTCCAGGCGAGTGAGAGGAGAGGCAAAGAAAGTGAGAGACGGGGAGTACGAGATCAGCTACCTCCCCCAGCACAGAGGACCACACTACCTCCACATCAGAGTAGGAGACAAACACATCTCAGGAAGTCCATTCCCTCTCTCTGTCATCACCACCACACCCACCAATATCATCACTGGTGTCAAAGGTCCTTGGGGTTTAGCTCTCGACAATAAGGGACAGTTAGTAGTAGTTGAAATGATCGGACACTGTGTAACAATATTCAGTGGCTCTGGAGAGAAAGTCAGATCATTTGGCAGCCAAGGGCTCTGGTCCAGGTCAGCTGAATAGCCCATGTGGTGTAGCTCTTTCTGCAACTGGAGATATTCTGGTGGCCGACCAATGCAATCATCGAATTCAGGTCTTCTCTCCTGATGGAAAGTCAGTGAAATGTATTGGCACCAAAGGCAGTGGACCTCTGCAGTTTACCTAGCCCTGTAGGTATTGCTGTGCACCCTCAATCCAAGAAGATATATGTTACAGATGCCGGTAATCACCGAGTCCAGATCCTCAATGAAGACCTGACATTTTACAAGACATTTGGCTCCAGTGGCTCAGGCAATGGGCAGTTCAATAATCCACTTGGAGTTAGTTTTGACAGCACTGGGAATGTATACATTGCTGATACTTTGAACCACAGAGTACAAGTGTTCACAGCAGATGGAGAGTACATTCGACAGTTTGAGAAGAGAGGAAGCGAAAAGAACGGAATAGCCCATGGACTCAAACAACATAGTCTATGTTAGTGACTCTGCTAACAATATCTCAGTCTTCACTAAAGAGGGACACTTTCTGACATCATTTGGCACGCAAGGAAATGGACCGGGACAGTTTAACCGTCCA